CCCCCCCCCCCCCTTTTTTACCTAATGTTATTTGGAGAATAGGTAATGGTAATTCTACCCATTTTTGGAAGGTGGTTAGATAAATTTCTTTACCTTCTTAATATTGCTCTTCAACCTATACCTCCTGATATGAGTAATATCCCTGTGTCTAAATATGTTTCAACAACAACATCTAGGATTGAAAGAATCTTCGTGCTTTTCTTTCAGATGAAGTTCTATTGTTTACAAGGTCACACAACTCTTGTTCGAGGAATTATTCGTGATGTGCTTGCTTGGAAATCATCTCTTGATGGTGCTTTCTTTGTTAAATTTGTATATTTAGCTTTAACCAACAACGGGACACACAAACCACAAAGGCTATTTCTGTTATTTGGAAATGGAATGGTCCTAAAAGAATCAAGTTTCTACTTTGGAAGATTGTACATGAAGCTCTGCTGACCAATCTTACTAGAGTTCAACGTGGTATGACTAATGATCCTCTATGTCCCAAGTGCAATATGGAAATCGAATCCATTATCTATGCAGTTTGTGACTGTTATTTAATTAACGAGACTTGGCAGATCCTACTTTCGGGTCAAACTTGCACAAAATTTTCTAATTTTATCTCTTTCTATGGATGAAATCCAACATCATGCCTAGCTAATAGTGGGATTTTGGATTCTTGGCGACTCATCTTTATTATAGCATTAGATGAATTCTGGAGAGTCCATAATTCATTGGTGTTTGAACAAAAGCAGACTAGCTCTAACAACCTTGTCTTTTCCATTTGAAGCAAAAGTAAGCATATATTAGCTGCATTTGAAGATTTTGGTTTGAAGCAGCAAGGTCAACAAAATCAACCTTACATTCACTCGTCCATTTGTTGGAAGCCTCCTCCAGTTGATTACATTAAATTGAATTGCAATGGAGCTGTCAAGGATATGGGATGCATAGCTGGTTGTGGTGGAGTCATAAGAAATCGTATGGGGGGTTTCTTATTAGGATACACTTGTAGGTTAGGAAGATGCTAAATTGTTCAAGCTAAGCTTTGGAGCATTTTCCATGGCATTCAACTTATTAAGCAAAGAGGATATGGTGAACATATCATCATTGGATCCGATTCAGCTCTAGCCGTTAAATTTCTAAACGAAGGATGTAGGTCATCACATAATCGTGTTACTTTGGTTAATTCCACTGTGGAATGCGCTGATCTTGCCCAAGACATAGAATGTGCTCATATATTTAGAGAAGTAAACCTAGTTGCAGACAGATTGGCTAGCTTTAGTTTCAACTTACCAAAGGAGCTTCATGTATTTGATTACCCCTCCTCCTAGGATTTTATTTTAGTAAAGTGTTGATGTTTCAACAACTTTTTCCTTTTGTGGATTTTAGTTTGGACTTCCAGCCCCTTGTAGTTATCAATATATATATTAATATATATATATATATA